TTCTGCCTTCTACCATTGTTCTTTACAATTTACTGTGATACTTGATATGGTTTTCCTTTATTCATATTATTTATATATATTACTGGGACCTCTTAAAGGGAGAAAAGAATAGTTCATTATAACTAGAGAAAAATAGCACCATTATAACCGGAAAAAGAACAGCAACATTATAACCAGACAAGAATAGCGACATTATAGCCAGAAAACAATAGCAAATAGCAATATCATAACCAGACAAAAATAGCAACATTATGACCAGGAATAAAATAGCAACATTGTAACCAGAAAAAATAGCAACATTATAACCAGAAAAAAATAGCAACATTATAACAAGAAAAGAATAGCAACAATATAACCAGAAAAGAATAGCAACATTATAACCAGAAAAAGAATAGCAACATTATAACCAGAAACAAATAGCAACATTATAGCCAGAAAAATAGCAAATAGCAACATTGTAACCGGGGAAAAAAATAGCAATATTATAACCAGAAAAGAATAGCAATGTTGTAACCAGAAAAGAATAGCAACATTATAACCAGAAAAGAATAGCAACATTATAACCAGAAAAGAATAGCAACATAAATCAAGAAAAGAATCTTCTTCTTTTCTTCTTCTTCATTTCCTCTTTTACCGCTGTGGGTGTCGAGGGAGATATAAGGTTCTGTTTCTAGCTCTTCTGGCCGCCTCGACCATAGGCACATCGTGCTGTTGTAGAGTTTCTCTGATATTATCCTTCCATCTTGTTCTTGGTCTACCCCGTGCTCTACGTCCTTCTTTTCTTTCCATGTATGCTTTGTATGGTATGGTGTCACAAGGCATTCTCTCTAAGTGGGCAAACCATTTCACCTGCTGTCTTTGTATGTAATCCAGAATTGGTTCTGTGCCGACTTGTTCTCTTATGATCTCATTCCTGATCTTATCTCTTATGGTCACTCCTACAGCCCTTCTCAGACATCTCATTTCTGTGGTTACTAATTTTCTTTTATGGTTTGTTGTGAGTGACCATGTCTGGCACTGGTAGCACAGAGTTGGAATAAATATGCTTTGAATAAGATGTCTCTTTGTGCTGATTGGGATTGTCTTATGCTGTAAGAGGGGTGCTAGCTGTCCCAATACTTGGTTTGCTTTACTGCATCTAATGTCAATTTCTTTATCCAATTTCCCATCTTCGGTAAATGTAGTTCCCAGATATTTAAACTCAGATGCCTGTTTAATGTCTTTGTATTCTATTGCTATGTTTAGATCTGTCTTCTTTTTTCCTATTGACATTACTTCTGTCTTTTCAGTGTTGATTCTCATATTATTTGTTTTACATTCTTCATTCATGGATGTTAGATGTTGTTGCAATTTCATGGCTGTATCTGCTATCAAGGCCTGGTCATCTGCAAAGAGTAATTCGTTGATCTTACTAAGATCTTCATTTATGGGCTTGGCATTCTTGCATATACTGTCGATGTAGGTGATAAACAGCAGTGGTGATAGGACACACCCCTGTCTTACTCCAGATGTCACTGTGAAAGGATGAGATGTTCCCTGATTTATTCTAACTACACTTCTACAATCCCTGTATAAACTTTTGCACACTTCGATGAGGTGTTCGCTTACTCCATATCTTGCCATTATTTTCCATAGTAATTGTCTGTCGACTCTGTCAAATGCCTTCTCCTGGTCTACGAATGCCACAAATAAGTTCTTATTGTATTCAATGTTCTTTTCTATTAACTGTTTAAGTGTGAAGATTGCATCTGTGCAGCTTCTATTTCTCCTAAATCCCATCTGTTCTTCTGCCAGCTGTGGTTCTATCACTGATCTCAGTCTTGTTTCTATTATCTTGGCATACATTTTGCCAACATGGCTTAAAAGAGAGATGCCTCGATATTGACCGCATTCTCGTTTGCTTCCTTTGTTCTTCCACAATGGTATAACTATTGCATGTTGCCAATCAATAGGGGCCGTTTGTTGTACCCATGCTGCATTGAATATTCTGTGAAGCCATCTGATGCTGCTTTCACCTGCTGCTTGAATTATTTCTGTTGGTAATCTATCAGCTCCTGGTGCTTTATATTTGGGAGACTGTTTAATGACTTTTTCTATTTCATCCATTAGTATGTGTGGTTCTAACACTGTTGCTCTGTGCTCTTCAGTTGTTCTTTCCTGATGATCTCCTAGGGGATTAAAGAGCTCATTGAAGTATTCCCTCCATCTTTCTGCTATCTCGGGTGGATCTATCAATGGCCTTCCTGTCTTATCATTCATTATTTCAGTGGGGTTGTAGCTCTCATCTCTTTTCCGCATATTTTTAACCACTTTGAAAAATTTTCTGCTGGCTGTTTTCTCATTTTCTGCTAGTGAAAAGAATAGCAACATAAAATCCAGAAAAGAATAGCAACATTATAATCAGAAAAGAATAGTAAAATTATAATAAAAAAAGAATAGAAAAATTATTACAAGAAAAGAATAACAACATTATAACCAGAAAAGAATAGTAACAGTATAACCAGAAAAGAATAGTAACAGTATAACCAGAAAAGAATAGTAACAGTATAACCAGAGAAGAAGTCACATTATAAAAAAATCGTAATATTATAACCAGAAAATTAAAGGTGTATTATAACCAGAAAAGAATAGCAACACAAATACCTGCCAAGTATGTCATAAAAAAAAACTAAGGATGGTTAATGTTAGAAAGGGTACCACATCCCATAGAGGAGTGGTTCTCAACCTGTGGGTTGCGACCCCTTTGGGGGTTAAATGACCCTTTCACAATGGTCACCTAAGATCGTCAAAAAACACATATTCATTGAAGTTGTAAAATGTTAAGGGGTCACTACACCAAAAAATTTTTTTTTTTAATTTACAGAGTTAGAGCAGTTATTTTATAATGGTCATTTGTAGGGATACAAGTTATTACATTTGTATACTTTAAGTGTTAAAAAATTCATAGTTGTCATGGCAATAGCCGCCATCTTGTGAAAAAAACAATATGTACTTAGGATTCAAAAATTTTCATATCAAACATCGGTATTCAACAATAGATGATGGATCCATGACCTTTTATCCAATTTACAGGTACAGGTCTAGTTTATTTACTTTAAACATGTTTTTAAATATTTTTCGTAGAATTTTAAAAAGTAGGTTTATTGAAAAAGTCAAAAAAATCTAGCATCATCGGACAATAATCAAATTTTAAAAAACAAAAACTTTCTAAAATCTATTTCTAGATAGACCAGTCCCTATAATATTCTTTACGGAGTATGCATACAAAATTTCATGAATCTACTCTTTATAGTAGCTTAGATTTTAGGATTTCACACACACAGCAAACTGAAATATTTTATGGTTAGGGGTCACCACAACATGAGAAACTATATGAAAGGGTCGGGGCATTAGGAAGGTTAAGAACCACTGCCATAGAACTAGGGGATAGGACCAAAATTTAACACTTAGGGAAAAAGTACAATGGACATACAGTCAGAATTCTGCTGGAACCATCAGAATTGTAATTGCTGCTTGTAATGAGGCTGGCTAGAGAGTAAAAGCAGACATCAGAGGGAACCCATAATTAATATAATTTACAGGCGAAAGGCCAAACATAGTTGAGTGTGAGGATGTTTCCCAAACGAGAAGTCGTGAGATGTAAGGAAGTTGAAGTTCACATGAAAGAGTATACTAAGTGAACAGAATTGCATATGGGGAAAAGGACTTAATTCAGGTAGAGAAACTCAGATGCGTCCAAGCAGCCACATGAAAGTTAGGCTAACTGTCATCAGGATGGAAGCTGTCTGAAGAACAGTCAGCTGTGTTGTTGAGTGCATGTCTTCTGAGCGAAGTGAGCCTGCAAACGATCGTCCAGAAACTGGGACACATGCGGAATGTGTCATCAGTTAGTCACTTCATGTGAAGGAGATAGTTGATCTGAGTTGAGTAGAGTCAAGAATTGACATTACAGCACTCAGGGCATTTGCATGTGTGCTTCGTCCTCATCTACAGCAGCCAGCGCAGAGTTCCAATACTGATGGTACCGGTACATGATCTGAGTGCTCAGTCACTGTATTCCTAGACATTGTTGTTAGCAACAGAATAAAGAGTAGACCTAGTCTGGAGAGAGAATAAACTCCTTGTTATGTCAGACAGAGTGGTCTGGTTTGTAAATTGTCAACTACTGTGTATAATTATCTCTGTTGTTGATCTTGGAACAACCATGGTCCCAGTCCATTGGAATGTGTCATCATCATCAGGTGCCTTGCCGACTGGTGTTGGCGATCATGCCTCTCCACAATCTGCGACCTCCTGTAGCATGTATCAGTTCGTGTGCTGACACACCTCCATGCCATGCAACAAGACTGTCGAGAATCTTCTCTTATTGTCTTCCTCTATCCCTTCTTCCACAGATCTTTCCAGTGGTCACAACATGTTCCATTTTCCCTCTTCTCATAACATTGCCGAAAAAGGCACTAATCTCTTTTACAATGCAACTCTCATTAAAAAAAATTGTCTCTTGCCTCCCTGTCCTTAGCATTCGTTGAGGCCTTGTTCTAGAACTAGAGTTTTGCATGCACATCCATTTTACAGTTCTAGCTTATTTGTATACAGATTTTTGGTTCCTTTGCCTCTCAGGCAGGTGCACTCTGACTCGGAAGGAAACACCCCTAATTAGTTGCCTTTTATGACATGCTTGTTAAGGGGGGGCAGTAAGTCTATCCCCCCCCCCCCTATGAGGCACCATATTTTACACACACACGCACATGCACACACAGACAGAGACACAGACACACACAACACACAGAAACACACACACACATACACACACAGAAACACACACAGACGCACACAGACACAGACACTCATACACACACACACACACAGAAAACTAATGTCATTTGTACCCTAGTACTAAGGATCATGAAATTGTTAAACATATTCATTAATCTCTGTGCCTCAGTTTCTCACCAATGTGTTGATTTCTTTATTCAACAGAGAACAATATTAAAAGCAAGATGTCTTTGGACCCAACAAATGATCTCGACTATGTCACACGATTCGTGTGTATAGGTTCGGAAGAAGGCTGCCATAGCATTCTCCCCAAACAAGATTACAGGGACAAAGTTCCCTCGCTTCATTCTTTGTTGTCCAGGGATGCTGCTTTTGCAGCCATCAGGAGACTGAGAACTATATTTGAGAACAGAAGCTTCGTGACAAAGGACCCATTATTGTTTGCTCTAGCTATGATTGTCAGAAAGATGCCCGAGGGACACGATGAAGATCCAGTAAGACATGGAGCGTATGATCTTGTCCAGGAAGCCTGTGAATCTCCGCTGGATTTATTCACCTTTGTCAGCTTTGACAAGGCAGTATCCGGTCCAGGGAAAGCCGGATGGGGGCGTGGTATGAAGCGGCTAGTGAGGCACTGGTACGAATCAAAGGCTCCGTTAGATTTAGCATTTGAAGCCACCAAATGCAAGTCGAGCCATGGATGGTCTCATAGGGATTTAATTCGTCAAAGTCACATACATCCCAACAAAAGGTCAAAGGGTAAGTAGAAGTAAACAGATGGGTAACCTTTGAGACCATTGAAACAATATATATATCAAACAAACAGACAATTCTACAGACATCTTTTATAAGACACCTTGTGGTGAGTACCAGCAGCTTTTTTTTTTTTTAAATGAAAAAAAAAAAGAATTCTGGTTATGGCAACTTTAAAACCAGATGCTCAGTGTGGATTTTGGAGTTTCATTTTGTCCACATGATTGAGTGTGTTCTTCTATTTTTCTACGTCTTTCTGTAAGTGCTAACCAGTGCATGTTTTTTTTTTTTTTTTTTTTTTTTTTTTTTAAATATATATAGGTTAGGCAGAGTAAGTTGCATTTTGATTCTTTCGAAAAGAAATAGGTCTTTTGTACAGTGATAGAAATTTTTTCTGGTGCATTGAAATTTAAAAAAAAAAAAAAAACCTGCACTGTCCATGGCGGCTGCATTAGCCAAGTAGTTCTGAATTTTTTCAGGCTTATCATCCCGCCCTCCGCTCACTTCCATCCTCCTTTTTCCCATCTCCAGCCTCAGTTCTTCTTCTTCTTCTTCTTCTTTGTGTTCACCGGCAAAGAGTTCTGGCTGTTCGTCTACTTCTGGACTTTAGTCTTGCTCTAGAACTTGAGTTTTGCGTGCACATCCATGTGACAGATCTGGTTTATATGTATGCAGATTGCTAGTTCCTTGCCTGTCATGCAAATGCACTCCCTCCCCCCCTTCCGGCAAACTCTACGACCTTCTGGGATGGAAAGCGTGAACTCAGACCACAAGGAGTTTGCCACCCGGTCGTCGTGCAGCTGGTTTAACCAACTTAGCTAGAGCATCATATTACATGTAATATTTCTCTTTCTATTTTCCGGTATTCTCAAGGAGCTTGGCAAAATATTTAATTATTGGGTTGTGCCGAGCAGAACATTCAATTACAGAAAAAACACAGCACGATCAGCATGGTTTTGTTTCTAGAAAAAAAAATGTCAGTGCTAACCAGAAAGGTTCTAAAACGGTGCAGGTGTTTACCCCAAATGGTCTATTACAGTGGCACTGAAAATTGATGCCTAAAATGGTGCCAGTACTGCATACCACCATAAAAAAGCCCCAGGTGATCAGTAAATGTTAATTCACAAGAAAACTGTATAGTTAGAATCTCCTTGTATTGAGACCTGCAGAGCCATTGAAATAAAAGGAGATTAAAAGAAAACATCTTCTTCCTTAGCATTCTGGGTGTTTGAAGTTCATTGCAGCAGATATCACTTGCCACCTTTCATCTCTAACGATGGCCTTTTGTTTTGAGTTGATGACAACATGTGTTTCTATGTCTGTCTGTTTATTATCTTTCTTTTTTCTTTTTGGTCTGCCTCGTGGTCTATGACCATTTCTCATCATCAATCAGGTGCTGTCTCCACGGTGAAGGTGGGCTGCAATGGATTTCCAACATGCTCTGTCCCCTTGTCCTGGCTGTTCACTTTCTTAGACTGCTGGCCGTCCATCCCTTGATATTGGGCCTACCTCTTGCTGTCTTGTCTTCGACCTTTCCCTCTAGTATAGTTTTTAAAAGCGTGTTATGTCTTTTAGTGTGGCCAAAGTATTTCAATTGTCTCTATTTTTATTTTTTTCAGTAATTCTCTTTTCATTTGTGGCCTATCCAATACCTCTGTATTGGACTGTTTTTGTTTCCATGAAGTATGACCTATTCTTCTGTATACTAACAACTCCAGAGACTTAGTTCGATTTTCTAGTTGCTTGTTTATTGTCAAAGTTACTGCACTAAATACAAATGGAGGAATGAAATAACTGCCTTTCTTCCCTTTGACTAAGATAACAGAGGTCTGCCTCGTGGTCTACCACCAATCAGCTCCCTTGTGTATAAAGTTTTTACCTCTCTGCTATCTGACATTCTCTCAATATGCCCCAGCTATTTTAGTCTATTAGCTCTCATGATGCCAGTGAAAACATGGAGAAGAAAATAAGAGACTGAGTTGACTGTGAGGAGGTGGACATGAGTTGAGTTGTTTGGTTAAGGACTTCTCCTCCTTTGGCAGTTGTAGGGCAGAAGGAGAAGGTCCATTTATACCATAGGAAGGTTTCACTTGGAATTGTTACTGTACCATCCAGATAATATGGATGATTTGAAAAATAAAGTAAAAGTCCCTTCTCCACACCTTCAGGTGTAATGGGCAAATAGTGCTAGAACTATATTTTATAGACAGTTGGCACTTGATGGGGGATATGGCTAGCATCACACCGGACACCTTTACTTCCCAGGACTTGAGGTCAATTAAAAAAAAAAGTGACTCCATTTGGACTCAAACCTACAGCCTTCTGATCTGCGGGCAAGCATCTAGCTGCTGCACCATGGGTGCTACCGAATAATATAATAACAATATAAATTGTTTTCTCCCTTGCTTAAGTTTAATTCCCTGCTGAAGTTGTGTGAACATTCTCTCTAAGGTGCTTCAGTTGTGCTGAACTATCTGGCCAAAGGTAAAGAGGCTGTATGCAATTATAAAGAGGAGGATGAGGATGAAGAAGAAGAAGTTCACCAGGTTGTGGCCTTTCTCAGAGATGTTGAAAAGCTGATAGCTTCAAAAGCAGAAAATAAAGAGTTGATACGAGATGTCATCGAAAGACGCAAGCTGGTCGACAGACAGATACCTTCCCACCTGTTTCAGATGAAAGAGGTGGGTTTTTTTTTAATGCAGAAAATATCGTAAGTAATCAGAAATAATCTAAGTGATAACTTTCTGTTGTGAGAAAAGTTTGAACTGTGAGATCTTTCTGGTCAGATGAAAATAATATAGCTGTGTGTAAAGTATTACTTCATTTTGACCTGAGTGGAGTTGGAAATCACATGTTGTCATATGCTATGCCTTTGATGTAAAATGTGAAATAACAATCCTAAAAGTGCGCTTAAGTAAGAATCACACAAATTCAACTCAGATGACTTTGGTGTAGTGTCAACAGTGGGTTGTGGTTGACTGTGATAGATTTTTTATTTGAAAGAAATTTTTATTTTCTGCATGACAGTTGTCGTCAGGTGGATTCCGGGGCCCCAGTGTGGAATAGGCCCACTGCCTCCGCAGCAGGTATGTCATAGGAGTCAGCTAATTAGGAGCTTTCTTTGAAGTCAGAGCGCATCTTCCAGAGCAGCAAGAAACAACTAGCTGCACACAAATAAGCCAATAAAACGGATGTACATGCAAAACTCAGGTCCTGGCACAAAGCTTAAGTCCAAATGGACTAACAGCCAGGACTTGATGCAGGAGCTCACAGGTGGTAAACAAAGAAGAAGAAAATTGAGTGGAAGAAGAAGGATGAATGTGTCATCTGCTTTCCATCTCAGAAGGTCATAGCTGATGCTGTAGTGAGTCATTTATGCACTCAACAAGATAATGGGCATGTTACATGCGCAGGGCTCAAATACATATCACAAGTGTGAGACAGATGTGTTGTTTCAGCATGGCCGGGCTCAACATAAAATGTCAACATCATGTAGCAGGTCGTTTGCAGAACATCGCTCCCATCACAGACTACCTGAAAGAAACTCAGTCTCTCACCAGCTCTCCTGCCTTGTGCACTTTCGTTTTCAAGGAGTCACTCATATTATGTGCCCATCTTCGTGTTGGTCGGCCATGCCCCTCCTTCTATTATATTTTTTCTAATCTGCCATGGCGCTTGATATTACCAAAATATTTCAGCTTCCAAGGCAATATGCTGTTTATTAGAATGTCAGTATTTCTTCTCTTCTTTATCCATGATATTCTGAAAATCTTTCTAGCATTTCAGCTCAAAATCCCTTATTTTTTCCTTAACGACAGGGAGATAATCCACAATTCATATCCATATGTTAACATAAAAAACACAAGCATATTAATATGTTAACTTGTGCTTATTAGTAAATTTGGCCACACATGGTTTTGCTTTTTCAGTCCGAAAGAGTTAATAAGACATTTTGTTTTGTATTACTGCTACTCTGTTTATATATTACTCAATATGTTTTGTTGGCTTACTGTTTGTTAAGACTTCTGTTCTGTTGCCTGCTAAACTTTATGTGACTTCTGTTTTGTTTGTACTACTATATTTCTTATGTGTTTGCCTGCAAAGTTTATTTTCACTTCTTTTTTGGTTAGTTTGACTGTTATTGTGTGGTATGACTGTTATTATGTTTAAAATACTATTCTTTTGTTTAGTATGGCTGCCTGTTTTTAGGTTTGACTGCGCCTAAAAAAAATTTATTTTAAGAAAAAAACATTTAACTGGAGAACAAAATTTGATGAAAGTCATAATCCCGAGATAAAAATAGCCATTTTTTACAGACTTAAAGATGCTGAACCTCAAAATGACAATGAAAACGTGCTATTGGCTGAGCTTCTTCAGACTCAGACTTGGGTTAGAAGAAGAAGGAGCACTTATGGGTTACTACCCGTGCGCCATGTTGTTGGTCCGTTGTTCAAACTTCAAACTTCATTTCCATACTTTCAGGCGTATTTTTCAACATCACTCGCTGCTTTTACTTCCCAGGACTTTACCTGGTACCCATTTTAGGCTTGGTCGACAAATGAGTTGATTCTAAAAAAAGATATCACATGTGTTCATCACTAATTGCTTTTACGGCTCAGATATGAGGTTGACCACATGACCCACTGAGTGTTGATTGTTCTGTAAAATGTAGGTCCAGCCCTGTGTGCCCAATACGCCCAAATGTGTAAAGAAGCGTCATTTTGAATTGTTAATTCTTGTCCTCTCCAGACCTTTGAAGGACTGCTTGGGCACATGGAGCTGGCAAACATCTTCAGGAGCATCCCCAAGATGGCATCACTGGGCATGTTGGACCATGCTGCTCCAGAGGCCAGCAAAGTCATCGAGTACGTGGGGGACTTTGATAAAATTAAACAGCAAAAGTAAGTTAAAGTATGAATGTAGATAATATCTGGTCTTTCTTTAACCACAAAAGTGGGTTCATGCACGAGTACGGATTTATTTTTCTTCTGCATTCAGCTGAAGATACAAATGCATTGTGCCTGTTTTCAACATGGCTGTAATATCTGCAGACACATCCGACCTTTGCAAGCATTTGTTATCCAGGCAATTGGAAGAAGAAAAAAAAGCATGTCAAAAAAGGCAACTAATTTGAGAGTTTGCTGAAATCGGATTTGTTGGGCTGAAAGATGTCTCTGTTGCAGCTTAGCTGTAAACCACAACACAGTGTGCCAACCATGTATTTGTGAGCAAACGCAGAAGAAGAAGATGAATTCATGTCTACAGAAATAAGCCTTCCACAACAGCAGATGTGAATTGGTTCATATGATATTAGCTGCCTTCCTATTCAACATCAGTGAGTTTATGTCGCCATCTTTGTTTCCAAGGATATTTCCTGATACTCATTTTAGGCTGGGTCACCCCAGTGTGGATTCGAACAGAGCTGTTAAGGCCAGCAGGCTAGCTGCTGCATTACCACATTCTCCGCCAATTCCGGGGCGAAGTGGACAAGCTGTTTGCCTTGTGTTCTAAAGGTCGTCGGAATCCTTTCACGTCTGCGTCGTTCGGTTCATGTATGACATTTATCTGAAGATGTGTGAGATAATTATCGAAGCTGAGGAGCTCATGCTTTGTACAATGCTCTCTGTGGCAGCTGGTCATTCTGCGGAGAGAGACTGAGCTCTATGGGTTAAAACCTGATGCAGTGAAGTCGACCTTCTCAACTTTAACTTTGTTCTCCCTGTTGGACCATAGAAATTTACGTCAGGATTTTTGTTTTAATTGGTTGGGTTTACAGCTAGAGATATTTCTATTTTGGTAACTCCATGCAGTATGACGTTGGTAATCATGCATAACCACTACCTTTTGTCTGGTGAACTGTCAGGAACTTCTGATACAAATATTTTTGTATGTCCGATATAAAACTGTCCATTTACGGCCATGTGGTCGTAAATGCTGACACTTAAAGATCCCGCCCCCCTTTCACCTACACAGTAGAAATGTTTAAGTACAGGCAGCAGTGGACATGGCAGATACCATCATGAGTGAAAGGCATTTCTGTGCAATTATCTGGGAAGGAAATATGCCCACAGGGTTACAGATACCAACATTAGAAAGTTGGAATAAGACCATGTCTGGGTTATATTGATAGACAGAGAATGAAATGGTTAAGCTATCTAGTGAGAATGCAGCCAGACCAAACTATGTGATACTTTTTACAGCAGAACGTCTAGGAGGAAGGCAAGAGGAAGACCAAGAAAGAAATAGATAAATGGTGTAGCTGAAACCTGAAAAACGATGAACAAATCCCTCACCCGAGCCACTAGAGAAGCGCAAGACAAATACAGAAAACCATGATACTGGGCTACAACCTGGTATCTGTGAGATGACCAAACAAATTAGATCAGGAAACTGTCTATCTCATGCCATATGTAACAGCATAGCAGCAATAGTCGAAGTTTCAACTTCATTGCAGATGGTTCACCACATAGCTGCTTCATTCCTGTGACAGTGAAAAGTCCATCACTGTTCCATTTGAAAACTGGTGAACAGACAGTTAGTCTTGGCAGTCCAGAAAAATCCACATGCACACCCAAATAAACGCATAAGGCTGCTACTAGTAATGCCAGCACTAACAGCTGCCACCAGTACTGTAATTTTTTTTAAATGAAAGTAAGTAGTTAGTTACCATGAGCCGGCCATACACACGTAGAATTATTGCATATTGGAACTATTTTGCCAGCCCAAAAGCAAAACTGTTATATGCCATTTTCTGAAAATCATGACACAACTGCCTGCAGGCCAAAAAATAAAAGGCATTCCACATGAAATACACAGCTCACAGTGCTGCACCAAGCACTAAGCTTAGTAGCTTATGCGACGAAACCTGTCACAACAAAGAATGTATGATCTCTGATACCTTCTCATTTCAGCAGCATTATCTCCTATGGAAGCTGCCTTGAACTATTTAACTACTGAGTAGATCGTGAGTCTGAATGTATCTTTTACGAGAAGAGTCAAGTAGGACAATGCACGGCAGACACAGACACTCGATAAAGCTCACAACCATGCTTAATTTTAGGCTTTTAACCACATTTTTGAATATCCCAAATGGTCACCATGATTTCGAACACAAAGAACGGGAAATACCATTCACACATTGTTACACTGGCCAGTGGTCAATTAAATACATGAACGCATCATGCACCGATTGGGCGGCTTTGTAATAGCCAAACAACGCCTTCCTTGGGACTCATGAGTTAAGTATACAGATTTCTCTTCGGAATACTAACGGATTTGCTTTTCTCTGCTTAATTAGGGTTCCTCCAGTTGTAATCTTTGTTGCCCTGAGAAGATATGAAACCAACAAGGCCAAGAAATGGGTGAAAAACCACAATTTGGTCAAGGCATTGCATGCTGCTTTCAATGCCTCTCTTAAGGTGAGGTTGTCTTTCATTCATTTGTTTATTTGCATTATTATGAAGTCGAAAAGTTTAGACCTTTTTTTGTTGTTGTAATAAATGTTTTTTCAAAACAGTGTTTCCCTGCTGTGAATTTGAACAAAAAACTCAAACAGTAGATTACACAATTTATTGCCTGGCATATTTCACTTGTCTAGTCTGGTGCATACTACAATAACAATTAATTAAAATTAAGCAGATAAATGAATCCTAACTGAAACAAAGAACCAACTATATTCACAAAATACTGCCGCAGACTGATGAATTATGTCTGCATAATTCTGGACTAAACCAGTTTATAGTCGTTGCTTCCATGACACTCAATAGTCAGTGGTTGGCTGAGGTATAGAAAATTTGAAATGCATTCTCCTTGTTTACAATGTGCCCAGAATTCAAAAAGTGGCTTACAATGGATGACAGATGATCTTTTTGACCAGTCACCTGATTCCTTGTTGTTAAGTTGCTGTTCTTTTTATTTGTCTCTTAAATTTAGACATTTGCAGGGTGGAGAAACAATGCATCTGACTTTTGTTATGGTCTTCTTGCTTGATCATCTTATAACCTTATTTAGAGCAGGATCCTCACCAGTGCTACAGAGCCTGTGCACTGTGCTGAGTTTCTTGGGACTCACACTTGAGTTAGAATAAGAACGGAGCACTTATGGGTTACACCCATGTGCCATGATGTTGATCTGTTGTTCAAAACTTCAAAAACATAACCTTAATTAGAGAATAAACAACAGAATATCTTGGGTCAAATTTTTTCCCCTTCAAAATTGACCTTGACTTCCAGGTCAACCCAGCCTTAAATGGGCACCAGGTAATTTACTGGGAAGGAAAGGCAGTTTGCCTGATGTTAACCACATCATCCACCTAGGGTTGATTGATCTAAACATATGAGTCTACTACCATCATCTGTGTGATGCGCTACTGGCATGAAAAAGGTTCCTTTGCTTAACCTGTAATGTAACTTTGCTAGATTGATTCCTTAAATAGAAGTGTTTATTCTTGTGATATATTGCTATAGTTTTCCATCCAGCTCTCTAGGGTGGTCTAACTTCGTCATATTTTTTCTTAGACCTGTTTCTATGGGTAATACCCCCAATTACTGCCTTTATTATACCACTTTCGCGGTGTAGGCGGGGGGGGGGTCTTTGAGCCTGGGGATTTACAACCGCATGGCTAGTGCTGTCACCACGATTGTGCAGGTGAGGATTTTATTTTGCCACTGACAGAAAAAATCCTAAGCCTTACCGAGGATTCGAACCCAGGTCTCCTGCTTGAGAGCCCAGAGTTCTAACCGGTCGGCCAGCCATTCCTTTCTATGGGTCATATATTCTTCTTAGTGGTAATTGGTTGTAAACTCAAACAGAAAGTTCTGGTTGTTTGTCCATTTGTGGACTTTGGACCCATTTCACAACTTGAGTTTTTGCTTGCACATTCATTTTACAGATCTGGCTTATTTGTATGCAGAATGTTGTTTCTTTGCCTCTTGGGTAGATGCATTCCAACCATGAAGGAAACGTCCTTTCCTACGATATGCTTGTTGGATGAGCGCTTGGGGGGAGTGGGTCTACTCTTTGTTCTCCAGAGTGGAGTCCCAGAACCCACATGTGGAGGTCATCTATTAAAGCAGTGTTATTCTTTAGTTCTTGTTTTTATAAAAAATCATGTTAATTTCTCCTCTTTCTTCTTCTCCTTTCCCCTCCCTCTCTTTCTCCTTCAAAATATATTCCACGGAGTTCTCCAGGGTTATCAATCTGTCAATTGATTCCCATTTTCCAACTTTTATTATGACAGTATTTTGGCACATGGATATAAATCCATAAGTGCTTCGTTCTACTTCTAACTCAAGCTTGAGTCTGAAGAATCTCAGCACAGTGCACAAACTACATTGCACCGGCAAGGATCCTAAAAACTTTTTGGGTAGATTTTAAACTCCAAATTTTGCCTAGGCAGCGTCGTTAGGCTACTCTTTTTGATTTCCAACTACCAAGAGATTTTTTTTTAAACGCGTGCAACAATACACACAGGCGTCCGGTCTTACTACCCAGAGACCAGAGGAAATTACTAGAATTCCACTTGGAAAGATCCCAGCCTTCCCCTGGGCCTGAACCCAGGACCTCCAGAACTTGAGGTGAATGCCATACCTTGAGACCTCGCTGAATCCCTTTTGTTAATACAAGTATCAGTCTAAACACTTTCTGCTATATCACAGCTATCTTTTTCAGTGCATCATATGGTTCTTGTTATTTCTAAAGATAAAAAAAAAAGTTCTTGCTGTCATATATCCAGTGCTGGATTTAGTTATAAGGTAACTAAGCTACAGGTTAGGGCCTCACAGTCTCTCTTCTCAGGATGTGTCCAGTGTAGCACCATCTTCTCTGTCTTATAACTGTTGATACCAGTGGTTGCCTAGACTTTTCTCTTGTTTTTTCACTCCTTTCAAATTGTTTCATAAATAAATAGCAAATAATGTTAGAAGCGTTGTTTTGAAACCTGTTCATGCATTGAACATGATCATGTCATGGTCATGTGATAAGTACTGACCAGTGAATTAAAGAGCATGTACTTCTTATCCCATGATACATAGGTTGTGTTTCTGACCATTGCAAAAATGGCCGAAAAAGAGCTGTAGGAGTTTCAAGGAAAGACAGAATAGGAAATCACGAAATCAGACAAATGCTAGGAATAAAGCCAGTCTTACAGGTCATCACAGAGCAACAAATGAAATGGTTTGGACACCTAACAAGAATGCCCTGGTACTATCTGCCAAAGCGAGCCACACTAAAACGTTACAACGGGTATAGAGCAAGTAGAAGACCTTGGAAAATATGGAGTGATGGCATTAAGAACAGCCTTGCAGAAATGAACATCAGTCCTAATAGTGCTCTTGACAGAGCTCATCAACGAATGTTACATCTCACCCAGACCCTTCGATTAGGTACAGGGTGGAAGAGAAGAAAAAGAAGAAGAAGTGAAAATGGCAGAGTTGATGCAGAATCTGTAAATCCAAAACCTAATGGGTTTCAAATGTGTATTCCTTATATATGGGGCTGTGTTAGCACAGTCGATAGGAGACTCGCTTTCAAATCCAGCTGCGACTCACCTTAGCCTACAACCAGGGTTCAAAACCGGCCAGTTCCCGGGGTTCACCCAGCCTCTAGGAAATAGGTAAAAGAGTTAACATTCTAGGGTAAATGGAAGAACATCGCTGTAGCTACGGAGTTTCAGGCGGACGTCGACACAGGCAGACAGTTTCTTATCAGCTGTCTGTACTGGTGGCAGAGCACTTATGGTTTATAACCGTGTGCAGTGACGCTGGTTTACATCTCCTGACTTTACCTTAACCTTTTTTATTCCTTATATATATATATATATATTCTAATGCAGTATCATGTTGCTACATAATAGTGTCTGCCCAGGATTGGCAAGCGGACATTGCTCGCCGTCCACATTGACAGCAAAATTGCCAAGCGGCGAGTATCTGGAGCTAACTTCCTCACTCCCCTTATGCCTTGTGCACTGATGGCCAAGTTTTTTACCCAGGTGAAGCCCCAGATATTGTTGGTATTTAAAAAAATAAATTTTCTATATTAATTTTTGTTTGTGTGGTTATTTTTGACTACTGAGTGCAGATTAAATTTTTGCATTGTTTTTTTTTTTTAAATCCTGCAGTTTATTTGGAACATAAGAATAGTAAATCTCACACATGAGAGCTGAATTTAGCACAGCGGCTTCTAAAAAGAGTAATGTACACTGTGTGTTAGCTGTCATGGTCTAGCGGCTAGATGCTGACATGTGGATCCAAAGGTCACAGGTTCAGATCTGAAGGAGCTAAAGGAGCTTGACTTCCAGGTCGACCCAGCCTTAAATTGATTTGCCACTTAGTCTGAAAAGTATAAGTCTAGCACTGTATACTATATAGCACTATCTGCTGTATGCTCCCAGGTCGACCCAACCTTAAATGGATACCAGGTAAAGTCTTGGGAAGTAAAGATGGCTCGAATGATGTTGACCACATAACCTGTAGTTTGCCAGTTAGTCTGTAAAATGGTGGTCTAGCACCATATGCTCACTATGTCTAAAAGCACAGGAAAGGGTCCTCTACCTTACTCCAGTGGGTTTCCCACTGGGTTTTGGGGTCCCATACATCAAGATAGGGGAAAAAAAGGTCATTCGGTCCATCAAAAGTGAATCTAATCAGGCCAGTAGTGACTGTCACTGGACTGGACAGGCCTTAAGCCTGGGACCCTGAAGTTTATTGCGTCTGATTGTCAGAGGTGGAGGGAGCTGATCAGACAGTCAACAGCTACTGGTGACCCAACGAAGCAAGCGCAGTGTTAGGGACGACGATGTGACTGACTTAGCCAGCATGGGCAGATCATCATTCTGTGCCTCAGGATGGGTTGTAATAAACTTAACAAGCATACGCACAGATTTTGTCTAAGCAGTTCAAAAATGTGCCAGTGTGGGCTATGCATACAAACTGTAGAACATGTCCTACAAGACTGTCCCTAGTACAGACCATTAAAAAGGAAATACTTGCCCAGTGAGTCAACGTCATATTCACAATTATATGGGAATTGAAAAATTTTTTTTTTTTTAAATAAGTCAATTTTGTCACAAGAATTCATCTGCCAGTGTAAATTAGAGTAAATTGATTGCAAGAAGAATTGTGAACATTGCTTGTCAGTGTCCCTCCTTGGAAAATGGCTTAATACCCCATCTCCCCTCCCCCACCTAAGATTTTCAATTTGTTGCCCGTTTTCTCTTTGGCAGTCAGAAACTAGAGTCCAAGTTGTCTATTTCCACCAGAAAGTGATTGATCTCAAGATTGAAAATAATAAATCTCGAAAAATGCCAATGGCTGGAATTATTGAACAAATTGTCAAGCCTACCAAAGAGGTAACTCATTCTATTGTATCTAATTAAATAAATACTAGGCAATGTTTCAGCAGTTTACCAGTGTTTTCTGAATGGTCACTGCTCTATATCATTGTTGAAACCACCATAAAGTTTACTTCCCTGTGTGGAATCAGGGAAATTTTTTGTGGAACAGAGTGCATCTGTCTGAGAAGGAACAAAGAGTCTGCATACAAATAAGCCAAATCTGTAAAATGGATGTGCATGCAACACTCAGGTTCTGGAACAAGACTAAAATCTGGAGGTGGACAAACACCCAGAACTTTCCAGCAGAATTTACAGATGGTGAAGGTGAAGAAGAAGAAGATGTGTTGTACCTAAAATAAAAAAATGCATAGCCATAGACTGCAACACAGAGTCTCAGTTGTCATTTTAAGGCTGACCTGGAGAACACATGACTGATCCAAGTCGGATCTGTCATCTGTCAGGCGTGAATGCAGCAGCTAAGCTGTAAATGAAAGGGCATAATTCAATTACATCACTCTGACAAATGATGAAGACAAAGATTTTATGGGCGAACTTAGAAAGGAAGTCAAATAACGCAACCTAACACCTTCTTCTTCTTCTTCTTCAGCATTCCGAGCCCTTGAGCTTCATTGCTGCAAATATCACCCGCCTCCATTCATCTCTCTGGTTGGCCTTCTCTTTCCAGTTGGTGACACCAAGTGTTTGCAGGTCTGTCTGGACATTATCTCACTATCTTCTTCATAGTTTGCCTCATGGTCTAGGACCATTCAGCTCCCTTGTGTACACAGTTTTTACTTCTCTGTCATCTGACATTCTTTCAGTATGCCCCAACCATTTCAGTCTATTAGCTCTCATGATGCCAGTGATCAGTGGTGATTTATACAGACTATAAATTTCTTTATTGCTTCTCACTGTTTGCAAATTTGATGGGTCCAAAGATTCAACATAAGACTGTTTCAAAAACCTGTAGGCTAACACTTTAACTGTCAAATTTTTTTTAACAGTTAGCAAATGCAAACTTTGATTTGTCGGAACCTTTGAAGTGGGCGACCCAGAACCGGAAATCATTTGATAACATTCTCATCATGAGTGATAAGAAGACTGTCACTTCAACAGAAGCATTTTATAATGCATTACATGCCTACCGAATGGAACTCAGTTTGCCAGCTGCCAAGTGAGTATGTTCTTCCTCACTTAAGTACAAGTCCTTGCGCAAGTCACTTTAACCCAGTTATCATCCAGTCCTCATCCTCATTAATCTTTTTCAAGTCCTGTGGTGATGGGCGAGCATTGCACAGGCAAAGAAACGGAGGCAGTCTTCCCTTTCTACAGCTTCCACCTGTTGTGCGCACTGCTCAAGAACTTTCCAGGCTCATATTGGGCTAATCAGCCACCTTCATACTCATAATCATTGATCACTACAACTGTAGATGAAAAGTAGTCTTTATGACTCATGATGGACGAACAACAGTGTTCTGTTATGGATAGCTGTCAGTTACTAGTCGATCAATTGTTTAACAGTTGACTGCTTAGGAGCATTTCCTGCAAAGTTGGAGGACATTTGTCTGAGAGGCAAGGAACCAACAGTCTGCTAACCATTAACCAGATCTGTAAAACGAATTTGTACACAGAACTCAAGTTCTGGAATAAGACTGAAGTCCAGAAGTGGACGAACAATCAGAAGTTTCCACTTGAGTTTGCAGCAGGTGAACATGAAGAAGAAGACTAACTGAATGCCTTTTATGTTGCCAATTTCCATTTGCCATGTGTGTGATTGTGCTATATGTTGATAGTTCCTATTTGAGAATGCTGTATGTTGATAGTTCCCATTGTCATGTAAGTGTGTTGTTTGTTGATAGTTCCTATTTGCCATGTGAATGCTGTTGTGTGGGAAAGCTCCTAGTTGCCATGTAAATGCTGTTATGTGGAAAGCTCATAGATGCCATGTGAATGCTGTTGTCAGTTCCTAGTTGCCATGTGGATGTTGTATGTTGATAGTTCTCAGTTGCCATGCAAATGTTGTATGTTGATAGTTTCCAGTTTCTGTATGAGTGTGCTGTATGTTGATAGTTTCCAGTTTCTGTATGAGTGTGCTGTATGTTGATAGTTTCCAGTTTCTGTATAAGTGTGCTGTATGTTGATAGTTTCCAGTTTCTGTATAAGTGTGCTGTATGTTGATAGTTTCCAGTTTCTGTATGAGTGTGCTGTATGTTGATAGTTTCCAGTTTCTGTATAAGTGTGCTGTATGTTGATAGTTTCCAGTTTCTGTATGAGTGTGCTGTATGTTGATAGATCTCAGTTGACATGTGAATGCTGTATGTTGATAGCTGCTAGTTGCTATGTGAATGCTGTTATGTTGCTAGTTTTCATTTGTCAGGCCTTCTTAATCTTCAATCCTTTTTTTTTATTTTTTAGAAAAAATGTATATCAGCCGAACATTATTAAAAAAAAAAGACCAAGACTTCCAGGTTGATCCAGTCTTAAAATGGTACCAAATAAAGTCTGGGAGGGAAGTAGAGACAGCCGTCGTTATGTTGACAATATTACCTACCAAGTATCGATTGGACTAAAATAAAAAATAAAAATGGAAAATATTGTGACGACTGAAAAGATCACTGGTAGAAGAGGCAGACCAAGAGAAATAATGGTGGATGGCTTAAGACAGTGGCATGGAGGAATATCATCAGTGGAATTGATCCAGGACACCAAAGGCTGAGATCTGTGGAGATGCATGAACACCTATACCAACTGGCAAGGTACTTGATGACGACCGTTTGCCCAGTTATCCTGAAGTTGTGGAAAAGGGACCTTTTACATCCACATTTATACGTATTAAAACAGACTTCATGGTCACATCAGAGGAAAGCATTTTAGGACAATTGTTCCTCGCTGGTTGTATTTTCAAATTCCCAAAGAGAACCTTTTATTTCAGGTCGATCCTCCTGTTGTGTTGATCCTCCTGTTGTGTCGATCCTCCTGTTGTGTCGATCCTCCTGTTGTGTGTCAATCCTCCTGTTGTGTGTCATCTTTTAATTTGCTTGATGTGGGATTGCTCATCTTAACTCTTTCAGTTCATGGCAGATGTTATTAATACACTTAACTCAAGTGTTTTTTAAATTTAGAGTAACAGTCATAGAATCTCGCCAGCGTAGTGTTGACCACATTAACCACCTAGTGCCGATTGGTCTGTAAAAATATGGGATGCTCTTCCCGTATGCCCGATACGCCTAAAGGCGTGAAAAGGGATCTTTACCTAGTCATAGAATCTCAGTGAACTAATATAGTTTGGACTGGACACAATAGACTCTGCACCCACGTGTACAAGAAATTCAAGATTGGGGATTCAGAACTTTGCCCGTGGGGACAGGCACCACAGAATACTGAACATGTGCTACAGATAGGCACCACAGAATACTGAACATGTGCTACAGACAGGCACCACAGAATACTGAACATGTGCTACAGACAGGCACCACAGAATACTGAACATGTGCTACAGACAGGCACCACAGAATACTGAACATGTGCTACAGACAGGCACCACAGAATACTGAACATGTGCTACAGATAGGCACCACAGAATACTGAACATGTGCTACAGACAGGCACCACAGAATACTGAACATGTGCTACAGACAGGCACCACAGAATACTGAACATGTGCTACAGATAGGCACCACAGAATACTGAACATGTGCTACAGACAGGCACCACAGAATACTGAACATGTGCTACAGACATGTCAGTAGAGAGATCAGAGGCATGGCTAGTTGGCATGTCAGTGGAAACCAAGCTGTATGGAACAGTGGAAGACACACCTCTCACCAAAGACTTCATAGAGGCCTGTAGCCTTCTCATGTAAAAACCACTTGCAAGGGGGAGAAAATATAGAAGAAGTAGAAGTGAATTAAAATGGTAGAAATATACAGCATGATTAGTTAAAATGGCTGCTGCATAGAAAAGATGAATATAGCAGAAGAATAGGTGCTTTAATAATATCCTGCCCCAAATAGGAGAAATTCACAGGTCACGGGATGGTCTAATATTTCAGGGGGTGGTAGATAGGTTGCACTCTCTTGTGGGATGTAGGTGGGTTGGGGTTAGGGCCAGTTCTAGATGTTTTAAGGTCGTTAAAAGCATCAGAAAGCCAGGAAACCCAGTCTTACTACCCTCTAAAATGTTGGTCTGTCCTGTGACATAATCTGGGGTAAGATATTAATAAAGAACCGAAGAATAGAGCAGACATTAGTCAATATATGTGATGTAAAAAGTAATCTATAAACTTATGTTGAGTTTATCTGGTACTGAAAGTGTTAACTGCAGCTGCTTCAACCAATTCTTTTTTGGGGTTACAGATTAGCATTCATTGGCATGAGTGACCACACGGTCATCGGAAATAAGTTAGACCTCAACATGCTGGAGGTGAGCGGCTTCAACGAGAGAGTTCCCCAGCTCATCTACAACTTCTTCTGCGGCAACATGGATTTCTCTGGGAATGACATCACTAGCACTGAAGCAGCTGCAGCACCATGATTGGAACACCACAGAGGAGCACATGGCCTGTAGAAAATTATTCTGTTGATTGTAAAACCATTGTAAACATCCACAGATCTGTGCCTGAACTCTTGTTTCCCATGTTGAAATTCTGTTTGTCATGAAATGTCCTGCTTTTGAAAATGAAATGTCCTGCTTTTGAAAGTGAAACAAAGATTTATACTATTTGTTGAGTTCATAAACTGCATGTCATTCTGCAGCGTTGTGGGACAGCTTTTTTTATAGGTTAACTCACCTGCTGTGTGATTAATCAAGGGAACTATGGCTGGAAAGCTTATCGGAATAGCAAAGTAGAACAACGTACACAAAACAGATCATTACAGTGATTTGTTTTTTGTTATTTTTGTGCACAATGTTATGCTACCCCATTCCGTTGAGCTTTTCAGTGACAGTTCACTGGATAAATCTCTTAGTATTAGCTTGACTGCACTCACACCCTATTTTCACCACTTTTTTATTTTTATTTTCACTTGGTATGTGCTTTATTTTCAATAATGTCAATTCTTTATCATCTGCCTGAGTTTCAGAAAATGGCTTCTGCCTCTCCCAAGCTGATATCATAATGACACTTTATTAAAATCATATTATACTGTGTGCTCGATCCTGAAAAGCAGGGGACAGCATTTTACTAGACAGGCACTGTAATGGGAGACAAATGGATTGAGGAAACAAAGATGTCCAAGAGAAACCTTAAAAAAAAACATTGAGAGAGGCCAAAGTTGCTTGGGTGGATTCCATTCATGATATAGGAAGAAATTGCAGAGGATAGAAGGAAATGGGGGAAAGGACTGCAAGCCCCATGTTTTGTATAAATGGCACACAAGGAATGTTGAATTAATAACTAACATCACAGCACTCGAGACATTTCTATAAGTGTCTGCCCCCATCTTCAGCAGCAGTTGCAGCATTCCAATTCTGATAATATCAGAAACAGTCTGATTGTTTGTCCATCTCCCCGTGGGGTTTTCTGGGCCTTATTGTTGGGGAAAAACAAGAATAGACCCACTTCCTCTCCAACAAGCATGTCAACTACTTGGGGGTTTACTTCGAAGTTGGAGTACATCTGCCTGAGAGGCGAGGAACCAACAGTACGCATACAAATAAGCCAGATATGTGAAGACTAAAAGTCCACAAGTGGACAAACAACCAGAATTTTCTGCCAGAGTTTAAAGCTGGTGGACAAGAAGAAGAAGAAGAAGAGTATGTCTGTCTTGTCTTTCCTTTGAGTGTTGAGTATCTGCCAGATCCCCTGGTCACCCCTGGCAGCGCCGTTCTCCTCAGTCTGTGAGGTTCTAATTGTGATTCTGCTCTGTTCACTTGCTCCCAAAGGACATAGCTGATGTTGGCGCTGTCTGCCAGAGCTTTCCAAACCTTGCACGTTGGTGCACACTTTTTAAACAAGAAATGAATCCAGTGAACTGTGACTTAAAGCTTCATGAAATGGGAAAGCAGAACAACATTCACAAAACTCACAAATTGACGTTTCGGCCAGGGCTTTTCTCGACATGAACTAACCAAACAACAATAACAAACGGGTGAGTACTGCAACAACCAGTACTCACTGGTAGTACTCCGATAGTACTTTTTAAACAAACATACTTTCATACAGTAATTACGCCTACTAGCACACTAGAGGTTAAACTAATGCCTTATAAGCACTACGGACACATACATAGCTTCATGTTTGCGCAGCATACCTTCAGACTGCAGTCAACACACAACACTATTTTGAAAGCTCTGCTTTATGCCATCGCTAATAGCAATTTTAAAATGGTTTTTAGTTAATTTGTCATTGGATAAAACACTTATTAGCCAGAAGCAAATTTATCTGCATGAAAATATCTGATTTGCTTTGAAAGAACAAGATAGGAAAGAAGACAAGAAATAGTTTAGAAGTGAATATTTGTAACTGTCAGAATAGCAAAGTTGTCAGTTCTAGAAAGTTTTTTTTTTTTCTTTAATTAATTTATTCTTCTAGATGCATTTCATGTGACTTTTGGTTTAATTTTGATGAAATATGTTTTACACATTCTGGAAAAATATTTTTTCATTCTGTTTTTACTTTTTTATTTTCCCATGTGAGTCCAGGGCCCTATTTAGGGGGAAGATAGACCCACTGTCTCCCTAACAAGTATGTCGCCAAAGATGGCTCAATAAAGCTTTTCTGACATTGAATAAGTTGGACCAAAATGTGCAGATATTGCAACCTAGCTGTAAACCACAACACAGCCTGCCATGTGCTCTTTTAAGGTTGATTTTTCACTGTGAGAAGTTGTGGTGTTTGTCCATTGTGCAAGAAGCACACATTTTTCCTTTCATTTGTTTGTGTTCATTTTTTTACTGTGTCTAAAATAACTATCAGTTATTTATGGAATGATGTGTTTGATTTGGTCAGAATACAACTATCAGTTATTTATGGAATGATGTGTTTGATTTGGTCAGAATTCAAGGTTCTGTGTTCATGTTGGTAAAGATTTGACGTTACTGCATTCAGGACAAGCCCATATTAGTTCCATCTGCCTTCCCAACAGCTAGCCAAGAGTTTCCATACTGATAGTACCCATTGTCATCTGGTCGTTATGTAAATGTAAAGTGTTTAGCCTTCACGCATTCTAGCTAAGAAAGGAAAGGTCCCTTTTTCACGCCTTTAGGCGAATTGGGAATATAGGGCTAGACCTATATTTTTATAGACCAATCGGCCTTTGGTGGGTGGTGTGGCCAGCATCACACCGGCCACCTTTACTTCCTAGGACTGCACCTCGTACCTACTCAAGGCTGGGAGTCAAGGTCATTTTTGAAAAAAAAAAGTCAGTCTCTGTCAAGACATGAACCCACGACCTTCCGATCTGCATGCAGGTGTCTAGAGGCTAACACCATGGCGACACCTATTTCCCATTCTCTTCATCTTGCATTCCCACACAGTTTGTATTTAATTGTGGATACGATCTGATACTCATTTTCAGAAGAAGGGGTTGACCTTAGAGATCAAAACAAAAATTCTTTATGCCGTTTTTTGTTTGTTCTTTAACATAATGTAACATAATGAACAATGGCGACCAAGTGTTGTTACCTACTTAAGTGTGTTCTCTTATTGTGCCTGGCTGCAAGGTGTAAACAGCACATACCCTTGAAGGAAATTTATAAGAAAATGGTCGGTCAGCGCGCGGAGAATATAAACATATAGAAACAGATTCGGATACTTGGAGAGGAGAGGGGCACCACCAAACAAACCCTTTGCCCGCTGAAATGTATGATGGGTCATCGGTACATGAACCCAACGCTTAAAACATTAAAAATTTTATTTCATTGACAGAAGATGCTGGTACTCACCACAAATCATCTTTATCCCCCCAAAAATAGAAAGTGTCGGTACTCACCACAAATCATCTTTATAAAAAAAATAGAAAGTGCCGGTACTCACCACAAATCATCTTTGAAAAAAACAAAGAAAGTGCCTATACTCACCACAAAGTGTCTGTTACAGTAACAATAAAAAACAAAATGATCCCTAAAAGAACAGCTGCTGGTACCAAGCCCCGCTGCATACCATGCACCATTGAATATCCCACACTGATGTATACTGTACACTGTTGCATACCACGCACTGTTGCACACCATGCAGCGTTGCATACCGCACACTGTTGTATACTGCACACTGTTGCATACCGTGCACTGTTGCACACCACGCACCATTGCACACCTCCAGAAAGAAAACCTTCTTTAACTTGTTGGGATTCAACCTGGACCTCAGTCATGTAAGATAAGGGCTCTGACCTCTATATCACCACATACGAGTCGATGGAAGAAATACCTTCTGTTTGAAATGTTTGTTCCTTGCCAGAGGAAAGATGAAACTGCTATTGGTACCATCAGATGTGGAACTCTGAGCTGGCTGCTGAAGATGGGGATGGAGCGATTATGGGAATGTCTCGAAATGCGGTGGGTTTGTCCTTAACTCATCTCAACTTAGCTTATACGGTTTGGTAAGTGTGCAGTTAAATTATTTCTCATGTAGTTCTAGAATCAGCGTAGATTGCAGGTTTTCACTGGTAGGTTATTGTTTCTCTTATAAACAAAATTGTAGAGTCAGCAAAGTTTGTATATTTTTATTGGTGGGTTATTGTTTCTCTTATAAATTTAGGTGTAGAGTTAACCCAGTTAATGAGTTGTTTGTTTATTTAGTAGATTATTGTTTCTCTTATTGAGGTAGTTGTAGAGTCAGCATAGTTTGTATGTTTCTGTTGATAGATTATTGTTTCTCGTATTTAAATAGTTGTAAGCGTCAGCACAGTTTGTATGTTTCTATTCGTATTTTTTTTTTTTTTTAAGATATTTGTAGAGTCAGCACTGTTTATATGTTTCTATTCGTAACTTGTTTTTTTTTCTAAAAGATATTTGTAGAGTCAGCACTGTTTATATGTTTCTATTCGTAACTTTTTTTTTTTCTAAAAGATATTTGTAGAGTCAGCACAGTTTATATGTTTTTATTAGTAGGTTATTATTACTCTTACAAAAAAATAATTGAAGTGTCAGCATAGTCTATTTGTGTTTTTTTTATTGGTAGGTTATTGTTTCTCTTCTGTTTCTATGCATACCTTACATACATACAGATGAATATGTTTGTGTAAGCATACACACATTTATGTGTGTGTGGAAGGCTTACATATAGTGTGTTGGCTTGTATGCTCAACTTACATTCATATATGAATCTGTTTGTATTAGGATCTGTATTGTGTCCTCTTTATGTTACTGCTGACAAATAAGGCAGTGATCTCCCTTGCTGCAGGTCTGCTGCTTAACTGCCTCTCCATCTGCTGTCTATCGAAGATCTGTCTGTCCATCAGAGAGCTGTCTGTCTGTCCATCAGAGAGCTGTCTGTCTGTCTGTCCATCAGAGAGCTGTCTGTCTGTTCATCAGAGAGCTGTCTGTCTGTCCATCAGAGAGCTTTCTGTATATCAGAGAGCTGTCTGTCTGTCCAT